ACACAAGCAAATACTTTTGATATTTTTTTTCCCATTTTAGTTTGATCTAAATCAAGAGCTAAAGCTAGAAGTGGCTCTGATCTTCTTATCTGTATAGTCTGTGGATCAGGGATACAGAGGGCTCCAGAAAAAAGACAGAAGACTGGCAACTGATCATATTTAACGAGCAGGCTCTGACTTTTATGATTGAGGTGACGGGTTTTCTTGAGGGAAGGAGGGACAAACAAAAAAATAGACCTTTTCTGCCAGATTCCTCTCCAAAATATTTAGTCCTCAGAAGTGTTTGGGGTATCTGAAATATTTTAAATATTCAGGTTAAACAAGATTTGGAGATCCAGAAGATTTCAAAATGTTACCATTAAAATCCTTAAGGTCATGAGAGCGTGGATGCTTATCAGTTTGTTGGAAAATAGGTCTATGTGAGATTTAGGAGATACAGTAGGATTTCTGTTCATTGTACATATGAGTAATAAATGGAATAAAAGACTTGTTTTATCCCAGCCTTTACAGAGGTGGATTTGGCTGTGCTTTAGAATTTTGCATGAGAAAGGAGAAAATATAGGTAAAGGAATGCATTTCTGAGGTACAGTTCTTTAGAAGAAGGTAAGTTGTAAAGCAGATCATAAGTCATATTGATATACAGGAATTTAGTAGGTAGATGAAGGACAAAGGATGAAGGTTATTTTAAATGAGGAGTTCCTATTGGTACTTGTATCATTTAAGCGGCTAGAACCTATGGGAGGAAAAATATTTAGTAAATCACAAGTAGCAAAACTAATCAACACAACTTTACTATACCAAATTATATCCTGCAGACCTTTGAGATCCACATTGATTCTGAGTGCAAACTTTGGGATTAAATGTATTTTCTAAAATAAATTTAAATGGCTGTCTTTATTCTGTGTCATCTTTTCTGAAGTACAGCCTTAAATCAGAGCTGAACTCAAAGTGAAAAAAGAGGGGATCTAGATTAGTTGTGTGAGAGATTGTTTGAACGTGTATTATTCAGATCTAGACAGGCATTGCATCGGGGTCACAAAAGGATTGTTACTGAAAATTTCAGTGTATGAAGATGGACAAGAATCCCCCTTAATCACGTCATGGCTCAGCTGTCAGAGGTCCAACGAGCTTACTTCATGTTGAACTTATGTTACTTCGTGTTGCAAACCATGATATTTCCTTTTTGAACTCTCATATCAAATGCTGTGTTTATTTTTTTAAAGCACAAGTCAAAGTCAATATTAATTTATTAATTGTATGTTTTTATTGGTATTTAATGAGTATCCTAAATGCTTAACAATGGAAAACTTGTTCTCTAACTCAATGTTGCAACTGGGTATATCAGTGAACACATTCTCATGCACATGTTTTTAAAAGCATTCTTACTAATGTCTGAAATAAAATTTAAAAACAAAACAGAAAAGAATAGATCAGGTACTAATGTTGCAATTTAAACCTATTTGAATTTTCTAATGTACTTCAATTTCTCGTAGCTTTTAAAGGTATGATTTTTATACTTATTTTAATCTTGCTGAATATATCTGAATAATAATAATAAAAATAAAATTAAATTAAACTGGATTTAAAAAAAAAGTCTTTAAAGATGCGGTGGGGAATAGTTGTCATTTCTGGCTTTCTTGAAGGTCTAGGACTGTATTATAAGAAACCCATTTTTCCTTGTCATGTGTTCTTTCATTGTCCCACTTCCTTTTTACCTTAGTCTTGCTGGCCTGTTCTTGTCAGATGCCCTACTTATAAGAAATTTCAATCCACCACATTTTTTCCTTTCTACAGTCAGCCCTCCACACAGAGGAGGAAGCACTGCATGCCAACCACTGGCAGACTCTTGTGTTCCTATAAACTATGGATCATTCTTTATTCTGAAAAAGATCTCATAGCCGGCAGTAAAAGGTTGCTTATGTACATACCGAATGAAGCCAGTGGACTTTTTTGTTCCGAGTGAAGTGTGTTATAGAATTTCTTTGGCCCTATAGAAAATATTCTTGCCCATCAACATTAAGATTTCAATGCAGTCATCTAAACATAAGTCCGTACTCAGAACATACTCTATAAAATGGGGAATAACCTCCATTTCTACTGAAAACGTATCTTTCTATGTGACGTGTAATATAAATGTGGTAGCAGACTCTCTATAAGTGTTCAAGTCGGGGTTGACAGAGAAACTTAGGAGTTCACAGAGAAATTTACATCTTTAAGTCCAATTGAAACACCTCCTGAGTGTCTTTCAGGACCTAGTACTCCTTTCTTACACAGAGAAAAATAGGCACGCTGCAACAGACCAAAAGTATCCTAAAGGAAATGCAGAATTACTACAATTGCATTTATTTACAAGATTTGGATGGTTTCATGAAGGAGAATGTGGATTAGTGTGTTGAGAAAAGGTCTACTGAATAAGCAGAATGCTTTGCTAACTGATCTTAAGAAATTGTTTTTGTAGTGAGCTTGGCTTAATTACTTTTGTTTCTGTTCTCCCCAAACTAGCAGGTCTGCTTCCCTGTCCTGTGGGTGTAAACTTCCCCTAGGCTTAAACGAATGGGAGAACTTGCAGGAAAAGGACCTATCCTTCAGGTTAAGAAATTTGGAAAGCAACGGACATGCATGGCCCCAGCCTACATTAGTCATCAGCTTATTATTAATAAATAGATCAAAAATCATGGTTTTGTTAATACTTCTGTCTCTTTAGCTTTAGATGGGGTTTTTTTGTTTTTGTTGTTTATATTACCTCAGCTTTTCTTTATCAATTTTTTTGTTAGATCCTGCACTGAGCATGATTCAAATTTTATGAATCTGTATTCATAGAAGTACAGAGCTGACTATGGTCCTTTTTGTTGGTGCTGATATGAATTATGAGAACTGAGAATGTACTTAAAGGTAACTTAATGTCTGTGAGTGACTCCAAGCCACTACAGCACATTGTTTAATATTATTTGATAAATGACTGACAGAGTGTTTCCAGTATTTTAGCTTTTCCTTCTAGTTTAGGTGTGTAACCAGCTGTAGGTGACAGGCATCTTGAGGTGGGACAGAGAAACTGGTACATCAGTGTGTGTCAGCTAGTACTTAATTAGATCTTTCTACAACAGGCAATAGCAGTTTCCCACAATGGATCTGTTACACGGAAGGAAAGAAGTAGATGACTTTCCAGGAAGGCAATAAGGAATCAGGCCAGTAAAGCGGCTCTTAAATGTTTTTGCTTTGTTTTGCCTGTTGCCCTAAATAAGCAGCAAGGCTCCTAAATGTTCATCTTTTTAGTTGGAGATATTAACCCAAATCCAAATTGCTGTTTTCCTTACAGCTGGACTTAAAGAGATAGCAGATGATGATTTTTACAAATACCCCTTAAGATTAGGTCCATGCTTTATTACATGTGAATCCTTGTGGCATTATAGCTGGTGTGTTGTTATAGTGACTCTCACTTGTTCCAGAAAGTCAGCAGTAACCAGGTGATGCTGGAGAGGATAGCTGTGGTCAGCAGGTACCTCACACAGCCTGGCAGCATTTCCGAGCAACAGTTACACAGTAAGAATTATCGAACACGTGAGACTTACCAGTCATATTGCTTGCAGTGTGAAAGTGTCTGCTGCTGGCTGGGTGGAACATCTTGCCAGCTGTTAGTCATATGTATTTTTTTTCCTTGGTGTGTCTTTACACTGAGAAAAGATTCCAGCATCTGTTTCAGAAAGTCAAAGAAATATGAAGCCTCATTAGATTGTTTATATGTGGGGCTTCAAAAGCAGTACTGCAAACTGTGCAGAGCAGTTGCTGACTCTTGGACTGCCATTTATTCAGCACATGTATTGGAGCACTACTGATCTACTGAACTTCTGTTTATGGTAGCATTACTTCAGTAAGCTGGGGGCTTACTCTAGTTTACTACAATATTATAATGAAGTTCGTAAAACATGTACTCTTTTTATGCCTGACTGAAGAGTTTTTATAAAAATAATACATGAAGGAAAAACTAGATTGAGTCAGAATGTAACTGTAGCTGAAGAAAATAAAAAAGCAGAATGATGGCACTTGTTTACCATCAGTCCTAACGCTGTCAGACTGAGCTGCTCCTTTCTACTACAGAAGGTAGTTGGTTGGCCCAACCCATCTGACCTGTGCAATTTTTCAGTAGCCATGAAATTGGACAAAGACTCTGTGTGAATCCTATTCCTCTCTGTAATATGCAAGTGATAAGGGCTTTCCTCCAAAACACACTTTACTGGATAATTCTATTATCCATCAATATGGAACAAGGGAACTGTACTTGCTAGAATTTACATTATTTCTCCTTTTATTTAAATTAGTTTCTGAGCTTCTGTTTTCTTCTGGCAACAGGCCCAAGTCTTTGGTAACTGGACACAAGCCTTCACATATCCTTAATTAACAGCTCTTCCTCTTCTTAAATTTTACTTCCCTTTTTTTCTATACATCTTCCCACTCTTAGGGTTTTTTAAACTACTTCTATTACATCCTTTCAGCATTGTTTTTTTATAATTTCTTCCTTTCTTTTTTTCTGTTTATTGGGTTTCTAGTCCTAATATATGTCTTTTACTACTACAAGAAGGTTTATCAAAGTACTGCTGTGTGTTTGTGTGACTGACATACTGTGCCATGTTCTTGTGCAATCAGATCTAGAGTCTGATCAAAATGTTCTAACTCATGGCACTGAGTTCACGCAAGGTCTCATGTCCCAGACAAATTACACATGCCTAACCAATTTGGATGAACAAATACTCTGAGGAGAGTCTGAGATATCTTCTTCTTAGGATTTAATTTCTTCTACCTTCCAGAAGCTCAGGCAATTCGATGTATAACTATTCTCCACTTTACTAAAGATAAATCTCTCTCTTTTCAAATATATATATGTATACACATGCGCACTTATATATAGCTAAATAAGGTCATAAAAAAACCAAAAAAATCTAGGATGTTTTAACTATTTCATTGACTTTTCAGATTGTTTTTAAGCTGTTTTTTAAACTTTAAAGGCAACACTGATAGTGAACGGTTCCAAATGGTAAAACAGAAAATCCCCTTCAAATATAACCGGCCCGTAGAGGAGTGGCTGCAGGAAAAAGGTAACAGTCATTAAAACTTTCATTTTAAACCCATTTGATTCTAAACCTCATTTTTAAAGCCTGCAAATAAATGTTTCTTAAATGATAATTGCCTGCTGCATAAATGACTGTTTTAATTTTCATTATAATTTGTGTCAGCTTCCACCTGCCATATGTTGATAAATCATGCTATAATACATTGCTATTAAAATGCAGTTAAAGGGACGAAATTCTAAGCTTGCTATCATAGTAATGACAAACAAACAAGTGAAAATTCAGGAGACGTTTTCTAAAAAAAAAAAAAAAAAAAAAAGCCAAGAGCGAAGAGCAACAACATGTATTATGGCAATTTAACCACTGCATGATTTTCCTATTTTGATTTGGTTTTAAACTACATTTATATTTTTATTATCAAAGTTTTCTTAAAAATTTTTCAAACCAGCTTCTTAAATCACCTCCTGTAAGTTTCTTTTTTCTCATTAGTTTGATTAGCCACTATGTATTTCCTAATTGTATTAAGATAATTAAACGATTTAAAAAAATGTTGTAGAGAAAACATTTTTTAACATTTTCATTTAAACTACAGTGAGGGAGACAGAGAAAGGTGATTGTTCTGTTGCTTTTATGATATGTCTGGAGTACAGTTTGAACACTCAGGTGATACATTTGTCTAAGTTATAGTGAAATTCTTCCCTAACTTAATCTCAGGCAGTGCTACTTAATTTTGTGGGTTTGCCTGGAGTAATTGGCCTCAGTTCACCAAAAGACTTGTTAACAAGTCCAGCTGGCTTGAGTGAGAGTTCTGCATAGACTCCATGACCTGTTGAAATGAGACTCGTGTCAGAACAGTAATGTTTTTTTATCTGGAATTCGGAGGGGAAAAAATATATCTTGGATGTAGAGCCCATTCCAAAGCCTGTTGAAGGTACCAGAATAACTCTTACTGATTTCAGCAGGGTTTGGACTGGCTTCTTTGTAATACAATGGAGCTTAAGTCAGGAAGATCTTCTTCTATACTAAATGTGGTATTAAAAAAAAAAAAAAATCAAATCACTCTAACTAACTCCTTGCCTTGAAGTCTAGAAAAAGCAGAACATGATCTTCTCTTGTTTCCTTTTAAGAACGAACTGCTGATAAAAGGGGGTGACCTTTGGACTCAGATCTTGCATTTTCTGGGCTGACTTAGATTATGGCTGTTAACAAATTTTCCAATAGGCAAAACCAATGTTTTGTAGGATTGGAAAAATGTAATTTATGTGCTGTTTCAAACTGCTATACTCAGCTGAATTAACAAATTGATTTAACCAGTATGAATTAAGTTAAGGTCATGAAGGATGTGGCTAACTACAGTCAAAATATTTTTATGTGAAGGGTCTGATCCTGCAAAATGTTGTGCACACTCAATTCCTGTTGACTTCGATGAGACCTGACAGTGTTGCCCACTTTTCAAGTTTGGTTTACAATGGTGTAATTAAAGCTGAAGTATTTAGTATTTCACTATTTGTGAAAGTAAGACAAAAATGTCTGTGCAACTAAAACAAAAATATTTTTTGACCACCAGGGTCTTATGGAATAGTTAATTCAGCTAAATTGTAGATAAATTTTAAGATAAAGGTATACAGAAAATGCTTATTGAGTCTCAGTGGGTTGCCCTGTTAATTTACAAGGTCAAACTAAAATAAATAAATAAAGCTTAACACTAAAAAGAGGATAATCTTGGAAAGTTTGAACTGCTAAAGTCCCTTTAACACTAAAGAGAATGATTGCCTCAATTTTGTTAAAACAGATGCATGTCTAATTCCTTGATGCAATTCATGTGCTTGAGAAACCTACCTTTGTTTTATTTTGTGTTTTTGTTTTGGGGTGGGTTTTTTTCATTTTTAGTTCTCCACCATATCTTTTATGTTACTGCTTCTCCAAGTTTGAGCTTATAAGCATGCCAAGGCACTTCCATTTGTAAGCCATCCTGAAGTTTTGACTGAAGTCTACCTTTTGTGGATATTGATGCTTTGTTGAAAGACAATCACACATGCAGTAGGGTCTAAATGAGACAATATTTGAGCATTCAGACACTCTCAAAGCACTGGATGTTTTTAGACTAGAAGGGTACAGCCATGTTTTTACTAAAGTGAAAGGAAATTCAGTCGTCTTGCTTTGTGGTAGGGAATGACATTGTGCAGTGTAACACCTGAGACAATATAGCTTTGTTCCTTCATTCCAAGGTAGATAGATGTTTTCAGCAACTTAGGTACCACTCAAATTAAAAAGTAATAAGAATTAACCTGTTCACCAACCCGCTCATCCATCTGGTCATCCATCCAACAAGTACTGTAACATGGAAACCTTCTGTCAGAAGACTTTCTAGATGATGACTGAAAAGGTAGCTTGCTATCAAAATGGAACACGATGAACTGATGGATGGAGGAGTAGACAGATTCATCAAAGAGACAGCATATAGAATATCTGTCTTGCTATGAGTTCTTGGCTTGAGTGAGGTAAGATGAAACACTTTTCAATTGACATTTCTGAATGCCATAGATTTGGTCTTCCATTGGTACCACTGTTACATTAGTCATAATAATGAAATAGTTCATTCTTGGAAAACAAATGTAGCACAACATCTTTCTGAAGTGGCATCATTGGTTTTGGTTTTCTTTTTTTTTTTTAATTTTATAAATTGGTTTAAAATATTTTAAGAGGAGCCCAGGATTACAATCTTCAATTATATGAGTAACAAGCAAAACATTAAACAGTATTCACTTCACTGAGATTACATATGTGAGTTAAAAAAAAAAAGAAGTATTAGTCCTAAATTGTTCGACGTAAGTAGTCATAAAACCGGCAGATTTCCTTAGCAGAGTACATGGTGTCTGCTAGGGCACAGATGTTACCTATTCTGCAATTGGATGAGCCAATAAAGACCCAGAAGCACCTCATCGAAAGGACTGATCCTGGAAGTCCTTAATTCTTCAAATCTCTTTTTCTTACATGTGAGGTCTCATTGATGTGAGTGACTGTACTTTTGAAGCAAGAACTATTAGTGTGAATTAGGATTTGCAAAATCCAGAACAAATTCTCTCCTAGTGTTACAGAAAGGTTACACTTCACTAAGATTTCTCTGTGATATTTTTAACTGGTATTCAGTTTTCCAAATGAAGAAGTCAATGAGAGAGCAAACAAACAAATGAGAGCTTGAACTATTCAGAATATTTACAAAACACCTCAGACACTTAAAATATGCTCATCATTATTCTCCAGCATGACCAGTATGACACTAAAATAGCAGTAGGAAGAGTTCTATGTGGAAAAGGAGGACTGTGAGTCTGCAACCCTTACACACCTAGTAGAACTTACTGATGTAAACAGTTCCTCAATAAAATTCAGTGGACCAATAAATTTTACTCAGGGGAAGTAAGGGTTTCAGAACCATATCATCAAAAGAATGATTAGAAGAGACCTATGGTGGCAGAATTAAGTGTATATTCTCTCAACAGTTTTCTCTCATTCCATATGCATTTCCCTGTTGTCTTTATTCATGCATTTGCACACCACTGTAGAGGGAAGAATGAGGAATAACACCGTTATAGGTAACTCCAACAAGTGATTGTTCTTTTAGCAAACACAGTTTTAGTCTCCAGCATTAACCGTATGGTGCAGTGCATGAATCCTGGACTGGAAGACCACTTAACAAACAAGGAAGACCCCAGAACACACAATCAAAGTTCCTTTTTTACTGGAGTGGGCCACCTCTTCGGTGTACACTTTTCTTCAGCGTTAGAAGATGCAGATGAACATTCTTGAAAGTAAAGCAAGAGATATGACAAACATGTCTAAAGCTGTGCTATGAGCTTGGGTTGGAATAGATGACATTCTGAGGAGAGTCATAATCCTCCAGTAAAAATGAGGGACCCCCTTTTCTATCCCAGCTTGGGGAGCTCTCCTAGCTGGAACAGCAAAAATTGTCCCTCCTCATCATCGCCCACCCCTTTTCCCTTTAGTAAAAGATGAAAAAAGATACAGTATTGATTCAAGGGGAGAAAGGAATGGCAATGGAAAGCTTTGAATGGTCAGTACCTTCCCTCCATTTTCAGGGATAACATCTCAAGTTTAGTGAAATAACTCCCTGTTCTTTACTCATCCCACCTTTTGGCACTCTATCATGAGTGAGGTGGGAAGGAGGCAACAGTAGCAAGTGAAATGTCTGGGTATGTAGGGGCAGGGACAGTACAGAAAGACATATAGTGCTGGCTGGAGGGAACACGTGAAGAGAAGGGACAATAGTGTAGTAAAGGACTGACAGCATATCCATTAAAAAATCCAAAGCACAACAGGACAGGGAAGAAAAGAAAACTCTGAGGACATGGTATATGACAAGAGCTTGGCCTGCTACAGTGTACAGTGCCATTTCCTCTAGCACAGGCAGGAGCTGGACTGAGAGGGCTGAATATTTTGACAGATACTGTTATTGGATCCTATTTTCCTAACAGACAAGAGGAAAGGCTCTGTTTTTACATGCTGAGGATGTGTGGCTTCAGTGCATGTTTGTTGATATTTTAACAGACATACGTTGCCTCTGGTAAGTTTAAAACTTCCTGAGATGCAGAATATCGCATCAGGTGTTTCAACACTTTCCAGGGGAAGGACACCCTCCATTTTTATTTCTCATTTCTTCATCAATGCAGTTACTCCACCCTGATCAAGTCCTAGTATTTCATTTACAAATCTGTGGGTGAGGAGAACAAGGGACATGCAGCCCACCTCCCCATGTCCATATGTTACACCTCTCCATACACTTCTGCTTAGTTAGCTAGGGCTGTCTTTGGGGACAGGAACTCCTTTCAGATACATTTCTTCTCTTGTCCCCATTCTCTTCCCCATGGTCCATCCTGTCACCATAAGATGATGCAACACCGCATCACCACTTGACTTCAAGACCCGTCACGATGACCACCAAAATTGGTGAGCTCCCCCTCATATTTTGATCTACTCTAACCACTGGCTGTGAAGGAAGGAGCAGTGGGTTATAGGCTGTGCTTTGCTACATGGTGGCATTTTGCACCTCTTGTCAGGGTGGACTAGAGAGAGGAATTGGTGAGTGAGAACTGGGGAGTGGGAATGGGATGGGGACATGTATTGCAAACTTCATAAAAATGGGAAAACACAGTAGATATTTGACTGGTGATTGACTTGATGCTGCATTGATAACCCTTCTGAGCTTTGCCCAGTCTGGTGTCTGTTAATTTAACAGATTCCAGGTGGCATGCCCCTAATCTTCTGAGGAACAGTGAAATTATAGGCACTGCCTTTGCACTGCATGAAGCAATTTATTTCTTAACATAGTCAACCTAGTGCAGCCTGGGACATCAGCAGTATTTATAGAGCAGTCCAGGCTGAATGTGATTTAAGTGTCCTGAAAAACTAGGTGAATTGGCTGTTGTTACTAGATTTATTTTTAATAAATATATTTTTCATTAGATATGATATTAGACCACTCCTAACACTCAAGGTGTGACCTTGAATAAACCACTTAACCTGCCCACATTTGAATTTCACTGTCTGTATGAGGGGTCACATGTAAGGCATTCTGGGGCTTAGCCATCTGAAGCACTATGTTATCCTCACTATTTCAAAAACTTTGCTCTTTCAGAGACATCACAAATGTTTGCATTTGGTGTTTCTTGGTTTTAGATTTGTAAGCCTTCACAACACAAAATTTACAGGTGGAAGATCATGACTGATCCTGTCTTAAGATTCCTATACAATCCTTATATCACCGTCAATTTTTTCTGGTGTTTTACTGTCCTTCAGCCACCCCTTAAAACCTTTGCATTATTAAAAGTGGCTTTATGAGTTAATCCCATCTTTTGAGTAGTCAAAATAGAAGGTTTATTTATAGTCTAAAGCTTGACAGGTACTGCAGTCTGAATTGGTAGTAGAAAAGCAGCCATATATTGAAGCCTTATTTGTAGTTTAAAATGGGTCCAACTCTAAAAGAGTGGGTTCAAATTTCTGACTGAGTCAAAGCTCCTCCAGAGTTTTGTTGTGTGAGTGGATGCTGAAGTATGAGGTTTTAGCTTTTCTGGCTTTCAGGCTAATCTTCCTTGTTAATGAGGGTTAGGCAGTACATTTCCATACTGTATTTCTACAGTCATCATAAACACTACCAAGAATGAATCTACTTCTTTGTTGTCCGTCATTTCTGGCCAGGACTCAATGTAAGATGCAAAGTGAAGGAAATGTCTGGCAATAATGTTATTCACCCCCCCCCTTCACTAGGACGGCAGTTAACGATCTTCAACACCCAGGCGCAAATAGCCATAGGAGGGAAGGACAGAGGGCGTCTCTTCCAAGGCCAGCTCTCCGGTCTCTATTACAATGGCTTGAAAGTGCTGAACATGGCAGCGGAGAACAACCCCAACATTAAAATCAATGGAAGTGTCCGACTTGTTGGGGAAGTCCCTTCTATCTTGGGAACAACACCTACAACCTCTGTGCCACCGGAAATGTCTACTACAGTTATGGAAACCACAACGACGATGGCCACCACTACAACCCGAAAAAATCGTTCGCCACCCAGCATTCAGGTGAGTCAATTAGCCTTCTGCATTTCCTTGGATTCTTAATTAGTCTTTTGTTTCACTGCTCATTTGTAAGTTCACAGGAGCTATGTTCTCTGAATCATGCTCCATGTAACTCTTTATCTTAATAATGTTGTGTAG